GATCGAAGCAGCCATGGCAAGAATTACAATAGCATAGGTGATGAATGTCAAGACTAGCCCACACAGAGTTCCCTTGGGAATCGATTTGCTCGGGTTCTTAAGGTCACCAGACATGCTCGCGCCGCTGTTGGTACGTGAGCTTGGTGTTCTTAAGTTCTAGGAAACGTACCTACGCGAATATACCACCAGTAGCAGGGAACAGGATCCCGAATAGGTCCTGGAAATTCTCCCGTCCACGTATTTGGCTGCCAGCAGCGCCTTTGGTAAGCCTGGGTTTGAGATTTTCTAGCAGCGTCTGAAGCCGCAATCCTGTGAATTCTACCCCAACCTTTGGGATGCTGAATGGCTTCATGAATACGGCAGAGACTGGTATGCTGAAAGTCGCGATGAGGAGAATGATAAGCAACCCGTTGCTAGCTCTGGAGAATATAGAACTTCCCGCTAAGCATATCGCGGTACACATGATGAGGATGACAGTTCCCCAGAGGTATTGCCACCAGAAGCCTTCTCTAAGGAAATTGCCCCAAGTACCAGACTCAGACCCGAAGTTCTGTGTGAAACAGTCAACAAGACCGACGGCATTCATACCGGTATTCAACACATAACCCAGGTAGAACACTATCCCTATAGATCCACCAAACTCAGGACCTAGCGATCGAGATATAAGATAGTATGCTCCACCTCCTCGTACTGTTCCGTTGGTTGCAATAGCGGATAGAGACATAGTCGTTACGAGATTGATCGTGTACGAAGCGACCAGTAAACCTACTCTCTGTCAGACCCCAATTGGCTTGTGTGGGTGATGATTGAAGGGCGCCATACCTAACATCCCTAATAACCCAGCTTGGCCAAGGATGAAGCCAAAGCGAAGGAACATCAGGATACTAAGGACGTTCAAGGTGGTCGGCACAAAGACGCCAGAAAATGTCCCAAGCTTATCAGGATTGTCAAGCGTACGGTCTTTCTGGCTATCTCTCTCCTTCTGACCCTCTCTGAAGGGCCCAGGGGGCGAGCGATTGGCATTTAATCTCTCCCTAGGGAGTTCATGCTTTCCGTCACTCCCCTGCCCACTCCACCAACGAGCAACATTATCTATGACGTTCTGTTGGGATTGTTGTCGGCTTTCGGATGAGCGGTGATGGAAGTGCGGAGGCTCGTGCGAATGTGAGGAGGAATTCATCCTCCCGTGGAGGAACTTGCTACTTTCTTCGGGAGATGCATTGGCAGATTCGCTCGGATCCAACCTAGAAACGTCTTCTTCAGCCGCCCGCGTGGAGAAATTGGGTCTCCTTCGGGACAGAGACTCCGAGGCACTGTCAGCCCGTCCGTCAGTCATGGATATAGGGCCTCCGCTCCTGGTTGTAGGAGCTTTTCTCCTCCCTCATACAGCAATGACACAATTGAAAGCGGACGAATCGGAGGCGCAAGGACAATGAGATGGTGCTAAGACCGGGTAAGAGTAATTCGCCTGCAAGCACAGTAAGAGCTACTGTGATGCAAACCAGCAAGGACCTCTCAGGGCCATGCACGTTGAGTTAACGTGTAACGAACAAAGGATATTGGAGACGCGAAGTCCGAGTTCAGATCGTCGGCGATGACCTCATGTGCCGAGCGACAAACAAACAATGCAAAAGTGGTCACTGGGTCTGGCAGTCTGCCTCATCTGATATCCCTTATCTCATCCTCGTCTCTCATCACTTCTATCGTTCCTTTGTTGGCCCGTCCTCATCTTTGTTCATGATTGTCATGGTCGACAAGGCGCGGGGTGATTTGGGGTGCGTGGAAACAACAGGAAGCCTAGTCCCTCCGCATACATTGCGGTGAACGACTTGCGCCTCTCGCATTATCGATCCTCTCAACTCTCCTTCTCCGCTCTTATCAGCCCTTCCTACTTCGTAGGCATTTCCCCCATGATCCTGGTTCGCCTCCGAAAACTCAAATAGTACGAATTGTTTTCGGAATTAACCAAGTTCTCGTACTCCGAGAAAATTCAATCTTGCTTCTTGTCAACATGTCATCCTCCAGGATGTCTGACAACGGTGAGGGCTCATCCTCTCAGCGTAACCGTTCAGCGTCGCCGATCTCCACGTCCGCGATGCGCTCAGGATCACCTGCAGGAGATGTTTCTTCTTCTTATAGGCATGCCTCGATAGCCCGTCTAGCATCACCAATTCCTTCTCCCTCGAATTCCTATTCGTCAAGACAGGTACCGCTGCCGATTCAACCAACCGCAGCAACCAACCAAGACCTTCGGAAAGTCGACAATCCGTCATCCTTACCCGGCCCCGGACAATCCATGATTGCATCTGCGCTCCAGGACTACCTCGGCCGATCTCCTCCTCCGAGAGCGGGTACCCCTCCGAGGCGGACTGCTTCGCCTGGCCTCCTGAACCAGCCTGTCAGGTCGAACTACGGTTCCTTCGATAACAAGGCTGGGAGAGAGGGTTCGATATATTCAGCTGGCCCATACGAGGATCCCGAAGTTGTCAAGAGACATTTGGTGCAACCCCAGAATGTGGTCAAAAATCGGGATATTCACTCTTCTGGGGGTGCCCAAAGTAACGCCGAGGATGAGTTCTCTAGTCTGCAACTCCAGGGTGGTGATATCACGAGACAGGTGTACAGATGGGCCGAGGATGCAGAAGCTGGAAGCTCATTGCGGAAACCCCACCGCAGCAGGAGCTTCAGTCATGCTCGACCTGCACCTGAGGATGAAACCACGAACATCAACAGTATCCGTGTCCCAGGAGGTTTCAGAAGAGACTATCTAAGACGGGCAGTAGGCCCCAACCTCCCTGGAGATCTGGATGGCTCGGGTGCGCAGGCTTCTGCTGCTCAGCCCCAGCTTCCAACAAGCAGCTTTCTGGAATTTCTGACTCTATACGGTCACTTTGCTGGTGAAGAGCTTGAAGAGGATGACGAGGTCTTGGGTCCTGATGAGTACTTCTCATCGGATACTTATGATGAAGCAGAAGGCAGAGAACCAGGTGAAGACTCAGCCCTTCTCAGGCCAGACACAGCTGGCCGGAGGAAGCGCAAGCCACGCGGTGGGACGGGAACCAACACGCGGACCGGAGCAGCTTTGCTTCTACTCAAGTCTTTCGTTGGTACAGGAGTCTTGTTCTTGCCGAGAGCTTTCTTGAACGGTGGCATGCTGTTCAGTAGCATGGTACTTCTTGGTGTATCACTACTCAGCTTTTACTGTTTCATCCTCCTGGTTAATACGCGGCTGAAGATTGATGGTTCTTTTGGTGACATTGGCGGTGCGCTCTATGGAAAGCATATGAGGCGCATCATTCTCGGCTCCATTGTGTTGAGTCAATTGGGCTTCGTCTCGGCATACATTGTTTTCACGGCCGAGAACCTACAAGCCTTTGTCCTGGCTGTCAGCAAATGCAAATCTTTTATTGACATCAAGTTTATGGTGCTGCTGCAGCTGGTCATCTTCCTCCCTCTTTCATTGATCCGCGATATCAGCAAGCTCGGTTTCACTGCCCTCATTGCAGACTTGTTCATCATGATGGGGCTGGTTTACCTCTTCTATTACGATTTCTTGACTATCTCCAACCAAGGCGGTGTTTCGGATATCATATCCTTCAATCCATCCACCTGGACACTTTTCATCGGCACGGCTATTTTCACATATGAGGGCATTGGTCTAATCATTCCCATTCAGGAATCAATGAAGCACCCGCAAAAGTTCCCCGGTGTCCTCGCCATGGTGATGGTGATAATCACGATCATCTTCCTCAGCGCTGGTGCGTTCAGCTATGCGGCATATGGATCCGCAACGAAGACGGTAGTCATCCTCAACATGCCTCAGGATGACAAGTTTGTAAATGCTGTGCAGTTCCTGTATTCTCTGGCGATTCTTCTCAGTACCCCACTGCAGCTCTTCCCGGCCATTCGAATCTTGGAGAACGAGCTTTTCACTCGCAGCGGAAAGTACAACCCCAGTATCAAGTGGAAGAAGAATTGCTTCCGTTTCTTCCTTGTCATGATCTGTGCATTTATTGCTTGGGGCGGAGCAGAAGACTTGGACAAGTTTGTTTCGCTTGTCGGAAGTTTCGCCTGTGTCCCCTTGATTTACGTATACCCGGTAAGTTAACTATTGACGTACCTTCGTCTAGTCCGCCAAATCGATTACTAACTTCTGCTCAGCCTCTACTGCATCTCAAGGCCTGTGCCCAGTCAAGACGACAGCAGATTGCCGATATCGCACTCTCCGTTTTTGGTGTCCTTAGCTGTTTGTATACGACCGCCCTGACGCTCAACAACTGGATCAATGGGTCAGACGTCAAAGCCCCCGGCTACTGTGACTCATAGATTGTGTAAATGTCATGATTGTTATACCGTTCCTTCGGATCGGATCTCTGGATATGAATGATTGATGCTACAATGTGAGGCCATCGTCCATTCGATGGATTGGCCTATACTTCTTGGTCTGATTGCTAAACCCCTGTTTGATTAAATCTTGTTTATTATTGCTGTATTCTCGATTGTATTTGATATAGACTAGAGATTAAATTGCCAGTATATGTCTATTTTGACCTTGTCCATCCTCCCTTCTAAGCAGATAACACTTACTCAAATAAATGAAGTCGACTAAACAAAGCTTTACCAGATCATCAATGTCTAAACCTTGTTGATGCGCAAAAACAAAAGCCTATATACAGAAAACCCCGGCATGCCCAGCTGCTAGATACAAAGATATCTCATAGTCAACAGCAGAAAGCCCCCACCAAACAAAACTACCAATCCCAGCGCCACTATTAATAATACAAGTGGCTGGAGCCTTCATCTTGCCCCATATCTTACCTGGATCATCCCTCAACGTACAGGTCTCACATTGATTTGGCGATTTGATTCATAAAATTGTGGTATTGTCTACTTAAATGGGTAGGTAGGCAGGCAATGCTGCTGAAGACGTATGGGGTATTCATAAGCCGCGCAGCAAGCGGGATGAGGCGATAAAGTCGAGAAAAGGAAGATGACGTCGTTTAAGCGCCAGCCTCGGTGGCATCCTTGCCCTGTTTGGCGGCCTCGGCGAGCTGAGCTTCACGGCCTCCCCAGCTGTTGATGCGAAAGTCAGCATTATCCTTTCATGTCTCAATGAGGGTGGGAAGATAGAGCCATTTTGTGACGTACTTCCAGTAGTTCAGGTAGCGGTATCCTTGGGTAAGCTGGGCGGAGAAGTTGACGGCGTGGCAGGCGAACAGGAGGTAGTTCTTGGGGGAGACGGCAAGGGCGTAGCGCATGAAAGTTCCCGAGTAGACAACGAGAGCACCGGTCATTTGGCCGGAGATACTGTGTAGATAGAATGACAGTTAGCAAACATATTATTGGTTAAGAGGGTGCTGGCATGTTCGTCTGGGCTATCCCGATAAGCTCTCAAAGCTTAATTCGATGTGCAGTGTTTATTCAGGAAAGGAACTCCGCGGAGCGAGGGGAGGTAATTGTAGCGACGTACATTTCAGGGTCCTTCTGAGTATCCATCACCGCCGCAATGGGGATACCGAAGTTGGAGGCAGGGCCCCAGAAGTCTAGTTAAGATCATTGTTAGCCAAGAGAAATTGCTTTTTATGAACCAGATTTGGCTAAGTAAGAGCTTCGTGTTCGTGACCGATAACATGTGCTGAAAGGATTCATTGAAGTTGCTCATCAACCCCTTCAGAACATGTCTTACGGCAGACATTCTTGTCGGCCGATCTCGGTCAGGAACACGGAGAGGGTAACGGTGAGGATTGAACGTACGGGTAGAGCAGAAGTAATCCAGGGCCTTGTTAGACCGGATCTTCGCATTGATTGCCTTGATTGCAGCGGCCATTTTGACGACTCGAAGGCTTGGACTAAAGTGAGGAGTGGAGAGTTGATCAGAGGAGAGTACGCAGGGCCGAGCGGTTTGCTTTCCTCACTCCGTCACCTGCAGTCCGCGCCGGGCGGAGTTACCCGGAGACGGTCACGTGCACTATATCCCTGCGAAGTCGTTGGTTGAATCGGACCTGCTAGGTGCTTACTGCGTACTACTAGGCTTAAATCTACACCTGCAGCTGTCCAATCGCCGTAGAATTGAAGTATAGTCTTACTTGAAATAGAGAAATTAAAGGCTTCAAACCCTCATTAGGATTCACTAATACAATTGAGTGCTCGAAATACATCTAGCATTACTTCTGTCGGTCCTATCCTTATTTCGGTCGACCTTTTCTTTTGTCAGGGCATTCCCTGCATCCGCACACGCCGCAACGCCTTTGCCTGGTAAAACTCGGGGTGCTATGCCTATTCGTCTGAGGTTCGTCAAATAGGCGACTAATGGGAAGTGAATATTGTTCGCTTGATTCGTAGTTCGAAGTATCTGCCATGCCGGTGTCATGGCCAGGTTGCAAGCCATCATGCTGCTGCACATACTATCAAATCACCGTCCACCAAAGCCGGGTGGAGGGAATCCGCGGCCCTGTCCAGGGGGCTGGAATCCCGGTGGGGGTTGGAAAGCACCCGCTACAACAGCCTCAGTTAGCTCATGAACCATAACGCGTAATCTTAGGATTACTTACGAGGAGCACCCTGAGGCGCGAATCCCGGGGGAGGAGCGAAGCCAGCTGATAGCTTATGTCAGTAACCATGTTCAACCATTGAGCTCGAAAGTGCAAACTTACGAGGTCCACCAGGGGCACCACCACGACCAGCGAAGCCCGGAGGGGGAACTCCAGGGAAACCACCACCAGGAGGGAAACCAGGGAAACCGCCGGGCGGCGGGGGAGGGCCACCAACACCCGCAGCAGGGCCTCCCAGACCGACCGGCAGACCACGTCCAGCGGGTTTGCTAATTCCAGGGCCAGCTGCGAGAGTGGCAGCTGCGGCAGCTGCACCAGGGCCAGCAGTACCAAGTCGGGCAGAGGGATCGGCGGGAGGAGGTCCATCAACGGAGCAAGAGACGACATGTGTACCGCGAACAATGGTAAGACCCAGGGTGCGCTTTTCTTCGGCTTCGACAAGAGGTGCGTTGGTCGAACCGGCGGCGGGCTTGGACTTGCGCTTGACGCGACGGAATTCTTCTGTATCGGCGAGGACAAGGTTCATGTGCTAAGTGACTGCGTCAGCGACCAGCATACTACAAGTATTATCCGATGGCCACTGAAGGGCCCGGGGATATATACCTTATCGAAAGCGAGCATCTGTCCCGTCATCTGTCGGCCATCATTGAGGGTGACTCTCATCCGGTAGTTGATCTGAGGGTAATGTCAGGTTTGACGCGCGAGTAACATATGTACCGTCAGTAACTTACGAGGTTTTGCTATTAGAATAAAGAGAATGAGTTAGCCACGCGAACATGGGTATACAAGCTGATATCAACAGCAAAGGGAAGAATCCGATCAACTCACCATCTTGCCCTGCTTATTAGCCGCCATGTTGGGCTATGAATGCGCACGAGTGCGACTTGAGTAAAACCAAAGAATTGTTTTGTGAGATGGTAGAAGGGGTAATCTTCTACTTAATCGTCACTTTGTCCTTACTGAGCTGTCGCGCTCGGAGTGAAGGTCGGTCGAGGTCTGCAACACTTTCTCCAAGCGGCACCAGCTCGACTTGCTACGGGTCGGAGGTCCATGAGGCGCGGCTCTGCGGCTTGGCGCCAGTCGACCGCGCCAAGCCACTAAGGGCTCTCGCTTCCCACTTTCAACCCACACATTTCCCTTTTACACACTTTTCGATCCTTGAGTTTCTTCCAACCAACCAGTCGACCAGTTCACGCCAAAAGCAGTCGCCATGGTATGTTGCCCATCGCCAATACACTTTTCAGCATTGATATAAACCCGATCCTCGAGACTCCGAAAATTCCATAAACAAATTTTTTTCTAACATTTTTGTCGCCATGCAGTCGGAATCCAAGGACAAGTCCGCCAACCCTATGCGCGAGCTGCGCATCCAGAAGCTCGTGCTCAACATCTCCGTCGGCGAGTCTGGTGACAGACTTACTCGCGCTGCTAAGGTGCTCGAGCAGCTGAGCGGTCAGACTCCGGTCTACAGTAAGAACGCCCGAACCCGATGAACCCGAGAATTTCGAATACGAAGCAGCCGAGGAAGGAGGATATGGAAATTGTGATATGGAATGGAAGGCTGATGGGATGATTTTTTTCAACGTTTAGGCAAGGCCCGTTACACCGTCCGTACCTTCGGTATCCGTCGTAACGAGAAGATCTCCGTCCACGTTACCGTCCGTGGCCCCAAGGCCGAGGAGATCCTTGAGCGTGGTCTTAAGGTCAAGGAGTACGAGCTCCGCAAGCGCAACTTCTCTGAGACCGGTAACTTCGGTTTCGGTATCTCTGAGCACATCGATCTGGGTATCAAGTACGACCCCGGTATCGGTATCTACGGCATGGACTTCTACTGCTGCATGTGAGTGCACTCCAACCTCTACGCAGTCCTAGTTCGACAGATCCATCGGTGTCGATCCAGGTCGAGCAGGACAACATCCAGGCATCAGGAACTGACTCGGAATTACTAGGACCCGCCCTGGTGAGCGTGTCGCCAAGCGCCGCCGCTGCAAGGCCCGTATCGGCTCCCAGCACCGTATCACCCAGAACGAGACCATCAAGTGGTTCAAGAACCGCTTCGACGGTATCGTCCGGTAAATGCCCTCATCCACGGGGTCTTCAGGAGGGAAAGCTCCGGGGTTGTGTTTATGATGAATCGATCAAAAAATGGTCAGAAAAGGAGGCAGGCGTTCTTGAAAATCATTATCGCTCTGCTCTGAAATATGGCTTTTCTACCACGGCATGAGGTTAGGCGTGTTAGAGATATCAAATTCCCAAATTTTTCATACGCATCCACTTTTCTCAATGAAGGCTTCACGAAGGGTGATGATTTCCGCATAACCATTGATGAAAGGTCTCCCATGATGCTTTTGCTGTGTTTTGCCACTTGTACCACTTTCAACACACAGTGGTGCTATAGTGTGCATTTGGCCTGAAACTCAATCTCTCTGAGATTGAGTGTTTTCTTTTGCGAGATGTGCTTCTAGCATTATTCTCTGCTACCCCAGGACTGATGCTCAAGAAACATGGGTCTCAACACCCTGTTTCTGTGCTCAGTCTCGGCCTCGTAGTGGTATCTTTGAAAACTCTTTGAGTAGATAAGCCGACCGACTCGTAGCAGCCAAACTGGCTATTGACCGACCGCGCTTGTAGAGTCTAGCCCAATACCCCGGGTCTCACTAGTACTACTGATTGCCGCTCGACAGGCATGCTACCAAGTTTTTGATGGGGAAATTCTCTGTGAAACAGCTTAGGTTTGGGTCCAAGGTCCTAATTACGTACCAACTTTGGCATGTATAGTTTGGGGCTGGCGAATCTTGCGACCGCAGAACCCCGCATTCTACTTATCCCTTACGATTCAAATGTGCTATCAAGCAAACGCTAGTCAAATTATGTTTGTTGACTATTACAGTAGTCATCATACGTACATGCAACAAAACTTCGTCGAGATAGCATAGCTATACCTCGCCTGACTTGAATGAATAGCAACAATATTTGCATAAATCACTGAGGGGTCTGGCCCCCCACGTCCAACATTTCCGATGTTATAGCATTTCATCAAAGAAGGGATTTAGTTGGGATTATTTACTACCTCCTCTCGTGTATCCATCCCACCACTTGGCGAAGAATCCGCCCTGCTGTCCCTGCTCGTTCCAGCTTTCACGGCGTGTATTGAAAGTCTGGTCCGTAGAGTTGCGCTTCTGGCTTGTCAGACTCTCAAACAGGCTGGACGCGCCATGGCCGGTTGAGCGTCTTCTATCCCCAACGCTGGGGGGAGGGCTGTTGCTCAGATTGGCAGAGTTGGAAGACATATCCGATGAATCAGAGCCCTTCATATGTAGAACGGTTAGTTAGTGCAGATGCTAGGAGTTTGAAGGTGTCAATCATCGGGCTAAAGTCAAATGCTTGGGATGATGACAGAAACTGTTCAGACATACGCGTCTGTCGGAAGTGGCAGTGGCAGCGGTGGTAGTAGGGATCGAAGGACGGCGGTAGGTCTCAGGAGGACCTCCTCGCACCCAGACATTGAGATGCTCGTAGCGATCACCGACAGTGCCATGCCAATGGCGGGGAGACTGGGGCTGTTGGTTGTTGCTCATGGTTCCTCTTTTCTTGTACTTCTTGGTTCTCGATGATATCGAAGGAGCAGTATCAACTGCGTGCTTCGTGAGTTGAAGTGAGGATGTGAATCATAGGAAAAGAAAGTAGAACATGTGCATGTGTATGGCAAACAACCGCGGGTGAATAGCAGCCAAATCTGTCACGGGCTATGGTTACATAGCTCTTTCATCATGTAACCGGGAGGCTCCGGTGTCATCTCAATGACAGATAATCAAAGAAAAAGAGTCCAGCTGATCGATATTGGAGAGGGCGAACTTGAAAGAAATCGAGACTTAAACTTACCGGTTAGCTTCTTTGCAGTGTGTTCTCGGTACAGGAGTTGGTTTTATCGATCAGAGCATATACCCGGGACGACAGTAGCTCATTATAAGGGATTTCCAAAGTAAGAGAGGGGTAAGTCAGCCACCCTCGAGTGCTGTGAATCAGACCCTGGGTATGATGATGCAGCAGGAGGCATTCCCATAGGTCTGAAGGGGCAAAAGTACGGCTATGAACCAATAATGGGCAGTAACGGCTTGGGGATCCCGGTCCTATGAATGCAAAAGCTTCTTTGACAACGGCAATGATTCATCATCTCTGGGGGATCGTATACGTCGATCCACGGATACTTAGTTTTCAAAGTATCACAAGATAATTGGGATTAATCAGCTCTCTTAGGCGGAAACAGTCCAATGAAACGATGTGCACATTTGGTGGTGTGCCAATGATTCTCATCCATGATGGCTTGACGTCAGGTGCTCTGCCAAATGCGGGGATCGAAGAGTAACTGCGCAGAGAGAAAAAGTACCGTCTGTCTCTTCCTGTGAAGCATCAATATCTGCACTGTGTCTCGAGATTGTTTATCTTCAATGAGCAGGGTAATGTGCAACTAACTAGCTGAGGATATATTTGTTGGCATCTGTCATCTATTCGAAAATAGCGCAGCATACAATGGAGGTGTTGAACCGTATAACACACAGACTTGGGACCCTGAAATGGAACATCATCATAGGCACTGGCTTAGCATCTGTGTACAGCGTACACATGCATCAGAAGCTAGAGGGAAAGTGTGAGTTACAGGCAGACATGGCCGAGGAACTGGCCATTACTCCATCCTACTGCCGTCCCATGCACTTACTGCCTCAGGCAATGAGCGGCATCCAAATCTGGGGCCGAAGCGGAATGATTTCGGCTTCCCCGCGGGCCGCTTTGATATGCCTCGCCCATTTTGACCGTTTATCATGGTTCAGCGTCCGCGTTTCCCCCTTACATTTCCGCTATAACTCATCATTCTATAGGCTATATTTGCCGACGATCTAGTAATCATATCAGTTATCATAGTATTCGTCAATTATTCCCCTAAGTCTCCACCGCCTGCCAAGATTTCGGCCATCGGGACCCTTATCATGCGCTAAAGACGCGAGCGCCCTCCCCCTCGTGCGGAGATGCCGTCGGTCAGAACGGCCCTTTCTGGGGCTATATCTATCCATGGAACCTCATGTGCCATAGCCTTCGACCATTTCTCACTCTCTATTATACCACAAGAGCGCTAAGGCGGCCTGCCATATATATATTCATTCTCCCAGTCCACAATGGCACTTCTGGAGACATTTGGTCATCCTTACTTGAAGTCCCTGGCCCATCGTGGCTACATTCAGGGCACCACTCTGCACTCAAAAGCGACTAACCAGCCCCTCTGTCACTATTTTGGATCTGTACGATATGCCCATCCTCCTCCTGAGAGATGGCGCCGGGCCCAGAAGCTCCCTGAGTCCTATTCCTACGGCACCAAAGACCAACCCGCCCCTTGCGACAAAGATGCTGCTGTTTGTCCGCAGCCCAGCTTCATGGGTCGTCCGTACACGAAGGGGTTCACAGAGGACTGCTTTGAAGCCAGCGTGTGGGTACCGCTAGGAGAGCCCCCCAAGGAAGGTAAGTATCGTGGTCCTTGACATATCAGCCGAAGCTAATAAAATGTTCCTATAGGCTGGCCGGTCCTTTTCTTCATCCGTATGCGCGCCCCTCTGAAAGTGCCTACAACCCATTCCCTGATCTGATACTGATGATTTCACATCTTAGACGGAGGCTGGCTACAATTCGGCCACCCGAACGGATTCTCCGCCGCAGGCCTACTAGGCGATGCCGGACTCAACGCCATTGTCGTCCTTCCAGCCTACCGGCTGAACGTCTTCGGTTTCTTATACTCCTCGGAGATCGAGAAAGACGCCTCCTCTGTAGGCGAAACAGCAGGCAACCACGGCTTCTGGGACCAGCGTCTAGCCCTAGAATGGACGAGGGACAACATCAGCCTCTTCGGCGGCAACCCATCCCAGATCACCGTCTCCGGATACTCAGCCGGTGAGTTGCCTTTTCACCCCCTCTCCCCTATGCGAAGCAGCAGAACTAACCCAACCAGGCGCCTACTCAACATTCTACCAACTCGCCTACGACCTCCAATTCCCCGCCTCCCAAGCAATAATCAAACAAGCCTGCATCTGGTCCAACGCCGCCGCCGTACAGCCCAAATCTCCAGCCTCCGCCCAAGAACAATTCGACCAACTCCTCTCAGCCCTACACATCCCCAGCACCCTCCCCTGGGCCGAAAAGATCTCCCATCTGAGGTCCCTCCCCTTCCAAACCCTCCTCGACGCCGCCATGAGCGTGCAACTAAACCAATACCGCCCGACCTCCGACTCAGCCTTCATCCAACCCACCCTCTTCAAATCCCTCGACAGCGGGGCCTTCGCGCGCACCCTCTCCGCACGCAACATCCGCATCATGCTCGGCGAATGCCGCGACGAGCGACACCTCTACGCCGCCTGGTTTCCACCACAAGCCGACAGTCTCTCCGCTCTCCATTCCAGACTTCTCGCAGATTACCCGCGCCACGTCGTGGACACACTCATGAAGCTCCACTACCCGGACGGCAAGTTACCATCGTGCTGCGAGAACTGGGACAATGATGCCTTCGGGCGGGTGTATGCCAAGATGCAGGTGCATGATATGCAGCGCGGGCTGATTCATGCTCTTGCTAGTGGCGGGGCGGGACATTTGCTTTACCGGTATCGGATTGAGTGGCGGGCCAAGTGTGTGGATGCGAATATTCCGCCCGACTGGGAGGTTACGCATTCTAGTGATTATCCCATTTGGTTCTGGGGGAATGGACATGTGTTGGAGCCGGAGGAGAAGGGTGTTATTCGGCGGGCTTTGATTGATCCGTTTATTAGGTTTGTTCATGGGGAGGGGGATGTGAAGTGGGGTACGACGCATCATCGGGAGATGAGGACCTTGAAGCCTGATGGGTCGGTTGAGATTGTGCAGGATACTGCGCTTTGGGATGAGGCGATGCGCGTCTGGAAGGCGTTGCGGGAGGTTGGAGAGCCGGAGGCTTCTGCTGCGAAGCTCTAAAGGAAGGGATTCAATGTCTCTGAAATAAGGGAATTGGTCTTGATCCTGTATATATCGCATGATGTCTATATATGCTGCATCTACTAAGACTACGAACATCTGGAACAATGCTTTAGAATCACTTGTCATTCATATGGTCGACATAATATGTCCCTGACAACCATTGATCGTAAATAAGCTGTGGCATAAATATGGAAATAACCCAATCCCAACCCAAAATATTTCATAAACATAACAGACGCTCTAATCTAAAAAAGGATATTGGCATAGTGTCCTTGTTCAGCGTGAGGAAAAATAAACCGGTCGCAAGGATATCAACATCGACATTAGCTTTTCAAACATTGCCGTCATAACGGTGTTACTCTTCTAGGCCTTGACGATCTTGCACACGAGATCCTGGCCATCCACCGAGTCACCTTCCTTGACCAGCAAGCTGGAGACCTTGCCACTGTGGGGAGCAGAGATAACCATTTCCTATTGAATGTTAGCGGCCGATCTTGACTTTTGATTGATAGTTCTAGGGTTGCACATACCATCTTCATGGCGCTCAGAACGGCAATCGGGTCACCCTTCTTGACTTCCAAGCCGTCGTGGACACGAATCTCGACAACCACACCGCTCATAGGAGCACCGACCTGGCTGCTGTCACCCAGCTCGGCCTTGGGGCGGGCAGTGTTCTCGACGGACGCCTTCTTGTCGTCCACACTAACCTGACGAACCTCACCGTTGACTTCGTAGAAGACCTCGCGCTGACCGGTCTGCTCGGAGAGGGGACCGATGGCCAACAACTTCAGGATCAGCACCTTACCCTTCTCCAGCTCGACGTGGAATTCCTCGCCGATCTCGGGCTTGGCCAAGAAGTAACGCGTGGGCAGGACGGACAGATCACCAAACTTGGCGACAAACTTCTTGTAATCCTCAAAGACCTTGGGGTACATGGCATAGCTGGCCACGTCGTACTCGGTGGCTGCGCCATAGTTCTCCCGGATCTGGCTCTTGATCTTGGCCAGGTCAAGGGGCTCCAGGTACAGACCAGGGCGCTTGTCAAGCTTGCGACGGTCACGCAGAGCGCGAGAGCGCAGAGGCTCGGGGAATCCACCGTAGGGCTGGCCCATGAGACCCTCGAGGAATTCCAGCACGGAACCGGGGAAGTCAAGCTCGCCGGCACGGGCAATCACATCTTCAGCGGTCAACTTGTTCGAGACCATGAACTGAGCCAAGTCACCAACCACCTTGGAAGTGGGAGTGACCTTGACAACATCGCCCAAAAGATCGTTGGCAGACTCGTAGGCCTTCTTCGTCTCGGCCCACTGCTGGCCCAGACCAAGCTGGCTGGCCTGGAAGATCAGGTTGGTCAACTGACCACCGGGGATCTCGTGCTCGTAGACCTCGGGGTCGGGACCGGTCAGACCCGCCTCGAAGGGCGAGTACAGGAGACGCAGCTGGGCCCAGTAGGTGTCAAGGGCGCGCACCTGGGACGAGTTGAGGCCAGGGTCGTGCTCGGTTCCCTCGAGGGAAGCGAGGATAGCACCAATGCTGGGCTGGGAGGTCATGCCGGAAAGACTGTCAGTGGCAGCATCAACAGCATCAG